TTTATGGGACCATTTGTACAATCTCATGGATGTCAGTATATTCTTATTGCGGTGAATTATGTTTCAAAATGAATTAAAGGAGTAGCAACCCTTAAAATTGATGCTCTGGTTGTGCTTAAATTTTTAAGGAAAATATTTTTTTTCTAGATTTAGAATACCTAAGGTTTTAATTAGTGACAAAAGAAATAATTTCTATAATCACTACAGGAAAAGCGTCAATTACTAGCGGATTTTTCCGGCGGCTTGCCGGCAAACTATTTTCCGACGGCTTTCCGGCGGCCTAATTTTTCAGAAGAATTTTCGGCGATTTTTCGGTGGCTTTCTGGCGATTTTGTTTGCGGCGGCTTTTCTGACCGCTTTTCTTAATTAATTTAATTAATTAATAATTTTAGTTTATTTTAATTACTTATTAATTTATTTTAATTAATTAATTATTTATTTTACTTAATGATTAATTTAGTTTAATTAATTATTAATTTAATAACTTAGTCTAATTAATAATTAATAAAATATCATATTTAATTAATTATTAACTTTAATATTTCATTTTTATTAATTTTTAATCATAATTTTTGTATGATATAGTTTAAATAAATTATAATATGAATTCTAACACATTTTCCCTCTCAGCAAAATGGTTGGGACTTAGCAAAAAGGAGTGGACTCGGTTCGAATCCCGAGCAGGGCGCATAGGCGAGCAGCGGGCAGGGCGTGAGCTCGTGTGGGCAGGCCGCCTGGTTGGAAGTGGGCAGGGCGGGAACTCGATCGGGCAGGCAGGGTGGGAGATCGAGAGGGAAGCTCAGCTCGGGCGAGGCGGGTAGCCCGGGCAGGCCGTCTGGTGAACAGCTGGGCAGGGCAGGGGTTGCTGGGCAGCCGGTCATTTTTTTTTTTAATTAAATTTTAGATATTTTCCGGCGGCCTTTTTCCGCTGGAAAACCACCGGAAATATTTGCCACCAGAAAATACTGCCGGAAATATTTTTCCTACTCGTGTTTTACCGACGAAAAATTTGACGTCTAAAAGCCGCCGGAATTTACAAAACTGTCGGAAAATGCCGTCAGTAATAATTGATTTTCCTGTAGTGAATAAGAGAATAAAATCAACATTAAGGAAATACGATATTTATTATATGGTTGCAATAGCTTATTGTCTCCAAATAGTGGACAAGCTGAAATTAGCAATATGGAGATAAACGAATTTTGTAAAAAAAAAAAAAACTGTTAGTTCTGATAAGAAGGATTGAGCTACTAAATTAGGTGATGCATTATGGACATATTGAACTGCCTTTAAAATTCTTATGATATGTCTCCTTATAAATTAGTTTTTGAAAAAACTTGTCACTTTCTTGTAGCATTAGAGCATAAAGCATTTTGGGTTGTTCATTCTTGAAGGAATAAATGAAAAAGATTAATACAGTTAAATGAATTGGAAGAAATTAAAAATAAGGCTTATGAAAGTGTTAGGATTTATAAAGATAAAATTAAAAAATGACATGGTCGTAAGCTTCTAAGAAAAGAATTTACCCATAAACAAGATCTTTTGCTTTTTAATTCTAGACTCAAATTATATCTAGAAAAACTAAAATTCAGATGGTCATGATCATTCAAATTAAAGCCTTGCTGGATTTATAGCCTGAGATGTTTGTATTTTTTTTTTATTCATGAAGATCCATTTTACATGCATAAAAATTCAAAATTGTTATGGAAAGAGGAACTATCTTGTGCAATTTTTTTAAAATAAACAATTATTTGCTTTGCATTTGAACATACTGCCAATGCATGCATCATTTGCCAATTTTATATTTAATGGTACACTTCCACGTGATTTATCTTAGATTCAAAAGAGAAATTTTTTGCATGATATCAAATATTGTTTTTGGGATGAACCATATTTATTTAAGGCTTGTAATGATCAAATCATTAGAAGATGTGTCCACGAGGAAGAAGTAGAATCATCTTAGGGAATGTCATGATTCTCATTACGGAGAACATTTTGGAGGTTTTAGAGATGCTTCTAAAATCCTTCAATCTGGATTTTTTTGGCTTACATTTAAGAATGTTAATGATTTTATTAGAAAATATGATCAATGTCAAATAGTAGGTAATATTTCTAGAATAAATGAAATGCACTTTAGCTATGTTTTGGAGATTATCATATTTGATGTTTGGGGATTGAATTTTATGGGACCATTTGTACAATCTCATGGATGTCAGAATATTCTTATTTTGTGGTGAATTATGTTTCAAAATGAATTAAAGGAGTAGCAACCCTTAAAACTGATGCTCTGGTTGTGCTTAAATTTTTAAAGAAATTTTTTTTTTCTAAATTTAGAATACCTAAGGTTTTAATTAGTGACAAAAGAAATCATTTCTATAATCACTACAAGAAAATCATCAATTACCGGCGGATTTTTTCGGCGGCTTGCATGTGAACTATTTTCCGATGGCTTTCCGGCGGCCTAATTTTTCAGAAGAATTTTCGGCGATTTTCCGAGGGCTTTCCGACGGTTTTGCTTACGGCAGCTTTTCCGATGGCTTTTCTTAATTAATTAATAATTTTAGTTTTATTTTAATTAATTATTAATTATTTTAATTAATTATTTATTTATTTTATTTAATGATTAATTTATTTTAATTAATTATTAATTTAATAACTTAGTCTAATTAATAATTAATCTCGAATCGAACGGCTCGACGAGACGAGTCCAACGAGCCCAAGATCACAGAATTCTGACATCACTAAGGCCTTCAAATGTCCAATTAACGGTGCACGATCGTAGGATTCAATATCGGCCGTCCATTGGACCACTCCCTATTCGCCCCTGATCTCATGCCTATTTACGGGCCATGCCACTCCAGAAAATCTATAAATAGAGCCCTCATTTCTCACAAGAGAGGATCCAAGCAAGAGAGAGAAGAAGAGAAGAGAAGGAAGGAGTTCCTCCTCGACAGCCGCCGGACCACCGCCGGACCACCGCAGAACCTCGCCGGACCACCGCCGGACCACCGCAGAACCTCGCCGGACCACCGCCGGACCACCGCAGAACCTCGCCGGACCACCGCCGGACCACCGCAGAACCTCGCCGGACCACCGCAGGAACCTCGCCGGACCACCACAAAACCTCGCCGGACCACCACCTTAAGGCCCGACGTTCATCCCCGACGTCCTGCCAAAGACCTGACGTCTTGTTCAAGGCCCGACACTCAGTCCCTACATCTTGCCAAAGACCCGACGTCTTGTTCAAGGCCTGACACTCAGTCCCTACTTCCTGCCAAAGACCCGACGTCTTGTTCAAGGCCCGACGTTAAGTCCCGACGTCCTGCTGAAGACCTGACGTCCTGCTTAAGACCCGACGTCCTACTCAAGGCCAGACCATCAACATCCGATCTTCCAAGTGACACTGGGACTAACACCTGACTCCTTATCTCCTACCGCCTACGGTCTTTCTGACCACGGTCTCTTGCCGACTACGGTCTCCGGCCGACTACGGTCGCCGGTCGACTACGATCTCCGGCCGACTACGGTCTCCGGCTGACTACAGTCTCCTGCCGACTACGGTCTCCGGCTGACTACAGTCTCCGGCCGACTACGGTCTCCTGCCGACTACGGTCTCCGGCCGACTACGGTCTCCGGCCGACTACGGTCTCCTGCCGACTACAGTTCTTCAGGCCTTTGTCGCCTACTATGGTCCTTCCGACCTCCATCAACAGACAACGGTCTTTCTGACCCAGGTCTCTTGCCGACTCCGGTCTCCTGCCGACCACGGTCTTTCAGGCCAAACAAACCTGTATATGTAACTCTTACCATGTAATGCAATCTATGTGATGTACATTTGCTACATCAATCCAAGGCCTTCTCCCAAGGAAGGGCCTCATTTGTAATCGACTACAATTACTAGTGGATTCATTCAAACTGGGCCAGGCCCCGTGGTTTTTCCCCCTTTTTCAGGGGTTTTCCACGTAAAAACTTTGGTGTCTTTTATGAACGCTACACCCTCTCACTTATCTGATTGTGTGCTGGATCTTCGTACAACGCTAAGACGTTAAACCATATATTTCTCTACCGCCGCGAATATTCCAGGACGCAACAGAGATAAACGAATTTTGTAAAAAAAAAAAACTGTTAGTTCTGATAAGAAGGATTGAGCTACTAAATTAGGTGATGCATTATGGGCATATAGAACTACCTTTAAAACTCTTATTCATATGTCTCCTTATAAATTAGTTTTTGAAAAAACTTGTCACTTTGTTATAGCATTAGAACATAAAGCATTTTGGGCTGTTAAAGAACTAAATTTCATTCTTGAAGGAATAAATAAATAAAAAAAAGATTAATACACTTAAATGAATAGGAAGAAATTAGAAATAAGGCTTATGAAAGTGTTAGGATTTATAAAGATAAAATTAAAAAATGGCATGATCATAAGCTTCTAAGAAAAGAATTTATCCATGGACAAGATCTTTCTTTTTAATTCTAGACTCAAATTACTTCTAGAAAAACTAAAATTCAGATGGTCATGATCATTCAAATGAAAGCCTTGCTGGATTTATAGCCTGAGATGTTTGTATTTTTTTATTCATGAAGATCCATTTTACATGCATAAAAATTCAAAATTGTTATGGAAAGAGGAACTGTTTTGTGCAATTTTTTTTTTTTTGGTAAGATGCAATCTTGTAAAATAGCACAAAAATTTATTAATATAAAATACGCTTAAAATACGTAAGAATTAATTAAATTTAGTATGCATTTGCTAAACATATTTATAATTTATCTCTCTTTTTTATTTCAATTCATTATTTTTATTTTAATATAATTAAGTGATTTATTATATTTTAAAAATATATATAGAAGATATAGCTTCATATGTTAATGAAAAATAGAAAATATAGCATCTCATTATACATTTTTTTAAATATATATTATAATAGTTATTTATTTTTTTAATTTATTTCTTTAAACTAATTTTTTTTTTTTAAATTCAGAATAACAGGCTTAGGCGGAGGTGCGCAGAAACCCTATTTCAGAAGAAAGTCTATACAGGTGATCAAGCGGAGGCGGCGCGGCGCGGCACGGCGCGGCAAGATGGGCCGTGTGCGAACAAAGACAGTGAAAAAATCTTCTAGGCAATTGATCGAAAAATACTATTCTAGGATGACTCTGGATTTTCACACTAACAAGAAAGTTCTCGTGGAAGTGGCAATTATCCCTTCGAAGCGGCTTCGGAACAAGATCGCCGGCTTTTCGACCCATCTGATGCGCCGGATTCAGAAAGGCCCAGTGCGTGGCATATCGCTGAAGCTGCAGGAGGAGGAGCGCGAGCGCCGAATGGACTTCGTCCCCGAGGAATCCGAGATCAAAGTCGAACACATCGAAGTTGACTCCGACACATTAGACATGCTCATATCTATTGGCATGGCAGAACTCCCGGGAGTTGAGAAGATGACTGAGGCTCCCGCTGCTCCGGCTCTTGCTGGACGCCCGGCATTTGTAAGAAGGACCTAAGTTTTTCTATCCATCTTTCGTTTAGTATTCTGTTCGAACTTGTTAAATTTTGCATTTTTATCGTTTTGATCTCTGGATTCACAGATGGAGTTTTTCCTAAATTTCCCTTTCTCTTATTTCGATCTGCACTTGCTTCGGTTATGTGTTGTTTGATTTATAAATTTGCAGATGGCTTAAAATTAGTATTCTGGGGTAGATTATTAACATTTTCAGATTGGCCTCTTGCTCTGAATAATTTTGTTGGCTAATTTCTTTTGACTCTTCAGGATAATTAAACAGATTATAAAGTAAACTAAGTTTTCCCCAAAAAGTTGGTTGGCATGAACCTAAGAAATGATAGTGTTTGTACTTCATATTATAATATTATTGTCTGTTTCTTTCAAATAATATCACACGCTTTTCTTTCCAACACTATCTATTTTTAGTATTTGGAAACTTGCTAAAATTTACATCTTTATCATTTGATATTTGGATTGATTGATATAGCTTAATTAAAACTTTGCTTTTATTTATTTAGATATCTACTTGGGTTAGTTATTTGTTGTTTGGTTTATGAATGTGCAAATGGTTTAAATTTTTTCTTCCAAGGAAGCTTATTAAAATTTTCAGTTTGCCTCTTGCTTTGAATAAGATTGTTGACTATTTTCTTTTGACTCTTTAGAATTATTATGCATCTTAAGTTAAGTAATTTGAAAAGTCTGTTGGCATGAGCTTAAAGGAATGATAATGTTTGAACTTCATGATACAATTTTTAGAAAGCTTACTGTTCTTTCAAACACCATCACAAAATTTTCCTACAAACTTTCATAATATTTATTTTTTTCTATTGTCTGATTTTTCAAAAAACAATTGTTGTTCAATTTTTTCAAAAGATAAAAAATTTATATACAAACAACTTTCAAAAAAGTTATTTTTTTTCGAACTAAAATTCTTCAAATATTTCTACCAATAGCTGCAGTTGCTCCAAATGGATTCTATATGTGGTTTGGGCTTGTGCTCCTCAACTTGGATTAAAGTGAGTTTGAAAAATTCAATTTTAGAAAAAGATGGACGGACTATTACATTGTATGCATGAGGAAGAAAGGGTGTTTTTTAAGGGTACTTAAGCGAACATATTTGTTTTAGTAGGATAAGCCATGAATGGATTCATTGTGGGTATTGAATAGGAGTTAGAAATATAGTGGGCGAAAACATTCTTGATCTCGTTAGTAATATTGATATATACCAAGAAATATAAGCACATTGTTAATTTCAAAAGTGGAACCATCAACTCACAAATTGGAAAGAATTGTAAGGAACTTGAAATGTGAGAAATTATTAATCTTTCTTGATAAGTTGCTATGAATGATTGGCATGTTTGAATTGCTTAGTTGAGACAAAAACTAATGTAGGATAAATGAATAGTTCTTTTAAGAAAGATTAATTTAGAAGTTTTAGGAGAACGTATAGATATGTTGTGCGGTATTGGTGTGATGAGTTTTTACAACAAGCCTTTATCCCACTACGTGGGGTCGGCACACAATTTCTTAAAGGATTCATATCATTATTGTTCGACAAGTTTTATGCTGGCTGTCGACTACCTAACGCAACTCTCCACTTTTCTAAAGATTATTAAAAGAATACTTTTTCCAAGATTGCTAAAAGGATTAATATTATTGAGACTTTTAATGATGATAGAAAGCTAATAATTTTGCTAAGAGGTTTTTAAGCTTAACAAGAGCTATAATTTTTTGTTATTTGTATAATATATTAAACACTAAAAAGAAAATCAAACACATAAAATAGTACAACAAAAGATTAGAGTTCTAAAGACTTTATTGAAGTTAATTGCATAAGGAGTGAAGATTATATGATATTAATTGAAAATGAAGGTGTTAAAGAAATATTAAAAATACTATTTTAAGAAGTTTTTAGAAATTAAGTATTTTAATAGAGTATAATTATCAAGATGGTTATGTATATTATAGATTGATCCAAAAAAGTGAAGTATTATTAACTCTGAAGTAGATGCCTAAGTATAAATATATAGTATATGGATGCGATACCTATTGTGATTTGGAGAGTTTGGGTGATGCTAAATGGTATGGCTAACAAATCCTTTCAATGAAATTTTAAAGGCATAATATCAAATAATTGAAGAAGCATCATGATATACAACAATAACATCAACATCAAGTTTTTATCCCACTATGTGGGATCGGTTACATGAATTCCTATGATGCACAGACACGGACACGGCGACACGGACACGGGACATGTCAGCTATTGAAAATATAGGACACAGACACGGGTTCGACACGGTATTATAGTTTTTATATTTAAAAAATAGTGTATAAAAATTAAATAAATATAGTTTTAAAAATAATATGAAAATAACAAGTCATTTAACTAGAATTTGTGTTTAAAATAATTAATATTAGGATGTCGAGAGTTAGGTGTCGATGTCGTTTATCAGTTTCTGAAAAAGGAGATGAAAATACCTTCACTGCCAAAAAGAAATAAAAATGAGAATATTTGATGATTGAGTATTAAGTGCGGACGTTGATTTGGTGTTGTGGATAGGAAATAATAAATTTAGTTTAAATCCCGCCAAATACAAGAAATTATATTTTAAAAAATTCATAAAATATTTAAGATACGCATGTCGGATATGCGTGTCCAATTTGTATTTAATATTTTTTAATCGGACACGTTTTCGGCGTGTCCGACACGTGTCGGAGGAGTGTCAGGCGAGTGTCGTTTCGGATACGGTGTCAGACACTGCACGCCTCTTTGAGGAGAAGTGTCGGTGCATCATAGATGAATTCTTTTTCTCCATTATGTCATGTTAAGAGTCAAATATTTATTTAAATATAATAAAGAAATATCATTTCTATTATTTTCTTGCCAAGCCTTTTAGGTCTACCTCTACCTTTCTTAATGTAGGTCAAATCTAATACATCTACTCTCCTAACATGATCATCAAAAGGCTGTCGTTTTATATGACCAAACCATCTAAGGAGACTCTTATCTTATCTGTCACTAGAGCTACTCCAACCTTTTCACGGATATGCTCATTTCGTATACTTTCTCTAAGAGTAAATCCACGCATCCACCTAAGCATGCTCATCTCAACAACACTTAACTTAATATTATTCTTCTCTTTTAATGGACAACATTCTGAGCCATAAAGCATTATGGGTCTCACCCATTGTTTAAAATTGCGCAATATGAGACTCTCCTTAAGGCCCGTCTCAGTGCAATTCCATTGGAAAATGCCTCGAGCTTTTTTTATGAGGCTTGCACCTCAGCTTGGATGAGGCTCGCTTTGAGGTGCGCCTCGCCTTACTGACGTGAAGTTTACGCCTCAGCCGATTTATATATATTTTTTATTAGAACTTACATAAATCATAAACTAAAGCCCCTAACAAATTATGCCTTCATGGACCCCTGAGCCGCAGCTACTTCGTCTTAGTCGCCTTGACCCCCAGACCATCGCCTTTGTCATAGCCACCATCAGGAATCACTTGAACCGCACACCATCACCACCACCATCTCCACCTCTAAAAATTTTGGAGTAATATTCTCATCTTTATGTTGATGAAAAATATTTATAAAAAGGAAAGATGATTGAAATGAATGAAGAAGAAACTTATTGAGAAGCATTGAACTCCATAGGATGAGGTACGAAGAGATTAATTTATTATGATGACGACTTAAAAAAAAAAAAAAACCCTCAGTGATAATAATGTAGATGATTTCTAAGTTGTTACCAATTATGTCAATATTTTTTAAGAACTAAATGTGGATGATTAGTGAACTGAGAAAGAATGAATTTAGATTTGAACTTGATGTTATATGATACTTTTACGTAATTCATATATTTCATGGTATTTTGTTCTTTTAATATTGATTTCAATTCAATTTCATATAATTTATCATTTGTCATTTTACTTCTTATGCAATTTTTAGTTTCATATGTATGACAAATTGTCACTTCATAGTTCAGTAGAAAGTTAATTTGTCATTATTTAACATATTATTTGGGTATTATATAAAAAATTAATTTTAACATTTATTTTCACTTTACATAATTTTTGAATTTTGAAGCTTATGCCTCAAAACGCCTTGAGGCTTATGCCTTGCTCACGAATGGATAACAGCTCAACACCCAATCGCGCAATTTTAAACCTTGGTCTCACCACCATCTTATAAATTTTTTCCTTAACTTTGAGTGGTACTTTTCTATCCCACAACAAACTCGAAGCATTCCTCCACTTCAACCATCCAACTTTAATTCTACTAATCATATCCCCATCTATTTTACCATCACTCTTAACAATAGACCTATGATATTCTAAAATGAGAACACTTATTAATAACTTGATCACTCAAAGTCACATGTCGTGAAAAGTCCTATAGGCCATATACTTTCCGTTATTCCCATTTTGTTCTTCTTTTTTTTTTTTTGTGGATTGATAGAAACAATTCTAAACACAATGGCATCAGGATGAGCTCGGAGAGAATTATATTATGTCATAAGAACAAGATACATCTTTTTAATGCTAGCATGATTAAACATCAGCTTTTTGAAGGCATTTATTATTGCTCTTCGTTTTCTAATATCTCCTTTGCTAGTGATAATCAAAGTCCCATGTATAAGATTTTTCATTGAATTAAACCTCCTACGGATTATGTCAAACTCAAAATTGATGGCTCTTCTTCCATGCTTAGCTCTGGTTGTGGTGGAATTATTAGAGATTCTAATGGTAATCTCTTATGGGGTTTTGCCTCCCCTCTCCCTAATTGTAATGCTATTTTTGTTGAAAAGAGCGCTTTATCTTTGGGCGTCAACCTTTGCCTAGCTAAAAACTTAAAGAATATTTGGATTGAATCGGATTCTAAATTTCTTATTGCTTCAATCTCAGCCAACAGTTGCCATAATGCATCTCTTTTTCACTTATTTTCTAGAATTCTGGCTTCTTTTGCTCACACATTAATCTCTCATATTTGGAGAGAAGAGAATATCCATGCTGATTGGTTGGCTAAAAGAAGAGCCTCTTTGAGTAATGCTGAATATTTCAACAATTATCATTCTTTTAGAATTCTGCGTGGTATGATTAGGCTTTGATGCT